CATCTCAAGATGGACAAACTTTATGTGTCTATGCAGTCATAAAGCTGTTACAGACTCCAGAAGGGAAGCAGCAAAAACCAAACCACATTACAACCCAGGTGGTCTGAATACACGCTGTAACTACTTACTGCTACAATCAAATCCTCCCTTCTTTACTGTTTCATCTTTAGCTTTTTATATATTATTACTAATAATACATTTTACAGTTTATGGTTGGAGTCAATCTTAAGGGTCGTTTCCAACCTAAATGATCCTATGAATCTAATAACATATAAATGGACTTCAAACTAAATGCTGTAAAAGCAATGTTTCCTCCTGTACATCTGATACCCTCCTTGATGTAGGTCAGGCTGGCAGTTACACCTCATACACTGATGGAGTATATAAACACTAATAATGCACATGGCTATTCTGCTCTTTCTTCAGCTCATAAAAAGAGATTTTTACCTCTGATCTTAAGCAACAATGTTCTAAGTTTCTCTGTTTATCAGCAAATTAATAAAAAGACTCAAAGTTTATGTGCTTCTGCTGGCTGCAAATAATGCCTGGCACGTAACTGTGATACTCACATGGGAAGCCTTCAGCATCATTGCTATGACCCTGCTAACACCAAATTCTGAATATTTAAATTGTGAACGTAATAAATACCTATCATGTCCAAGGCCCTTATCAAACACGCGCTTTCACTGGTGTTTCATGGAAGTACTACTCGATCTATTTCTGAAATGTTTGCAATGACTGGGAACACTGCAGTCTGTAGTTTACAATGCTCTTTTGGAAATAAAACGAACAATAAAATAGGAAATGTATTTTGTTTTTAAATAGTACCTTCAATACGTCTCCGTGCAATTCTATAGTGAGAGGGTTGGAGTTCGTCCTGTTCTTTGAGAGCTAATATCAACAGAGGTTGTTATTGAGTCCACCTTCCGTTGAAAATAAACACAATGTAGTATTTGTGATCAACACATCAAACTGGATAAAGCTTTAACAGCTCAGAACGCTCGGATCTTTTCATGAAAACAAGTTAGATACAATGGAAATACTTAAACATTTCTAAAACACAAGTATTTACTGTGGAAAAGAGGTCTCTAGGCCTCTGTGTTAGGTCTTTGGAAAAGAGCATAAATCCTCCACCTGCAATACTCATGGGAACATTACTCAAGTGCAGATCAGATACGTAAAGTTGCTTCACTGAAACAGAAGTAAGAGTAAAAGCGGTCAAAGAGGCTTTACCACACATGTGCCAGCCTCCTTTGTAAACCACATCAAGGCCATGCCTGCTTCCAGTTCCCCAAATTGCCACATCTCTAAGCTTCTATTTGTCAATTCTTCAATAAAATGGGAAATATTTCCCTGCAGCCTAGTAAACTAAAATGATGAAGTAATCGAATATTAAAATATTAGCAGAGGCAAAATAAGTATCTTTAATAAATAGGTGTCCAATTTTCACAGAGCAAGACACAGCAGATCATGGTGACAGCTGCAGTCAACAAGACCCTTTCTTTCTCTTCCATGTAATTTTTCCAGCAACAAAATACAGATTTTTTCCTTAATTTTTTTCCTGCTGTATTAAACTCAGTCTGCAGTGTGACAAACTGCAATAAAACTTTACCTCTTTATTTCCCATTCCTCTACTTAAAATAAAGGAGATAAGAGCTGCTGAGATTTAGCCTATTTGTAACCCACTCATAACATATTTTACGCAACCAAACTAAAGGGATTAGAGAAGCAACCTTTCCCCCCAAGTAATTACACAGAAGCTTTTTAAGAATACTTTGTTATTATCGAAATGCAGTTCGCATGACATTTCTAGAAAAGTCCTTGGAGCACTTCCTATAGTCACTTTTGCTATTAGGCAGTGCCCATGACATGCGTTGCTAAACTAAATATAAAATTTATATCTACAAGTCACCACCAACAGTCATGAGTATTAGAGCAATTCTTCTGCAGAAAGACTTGGTTTTGACAGAGATTTCTACCACAAACTTCAGAAGAAAAGAAACGGCCTTCCGTTAACTTTGTAAACCCCTACTCGGTATTAAAACTCTGGCAACATCAGTTATTTGAAGTGAAAGATACTTTCAGAAATGTGCATTTTACTATTCCACACCATGTCTCCAATCACTTTCATTATGCATCTCTGCGGATATATTTGAAACCGCGATAGCGCTGTTTGCTGTCACACCACTGGAAAAATAATAATACTGATAAAAACCCCACTAAAATGCCTGCCACTTCGCTTTTGCTGTGTTTGCAGCTGCCTAGCTTCTCAAGATATAATCCTGTGGCCATTGCAGAATCAAAGTGCATTCAGATCAAAGTAGTTTATGAGAAATCACTGCTGCACCTACTGGGGTCTGAGCTGCAAATCCACACGGCATCGCTTCTATTGAAGATGGTGAACTGTATTTTCACCCATATCAAGGAAGAGAAGGTTGCTTTCTAAAGGTTTGCTGTGTCTGCCTTAGCTTGTAATTACTTAATTTGATTCCGCCAAAGAAATGCAGAAAAATAGAGCATTTTCACATAAAACATGAGATTCACATTAATAGCAAGAGGCTGTGAAAAGGACTAATTTTTGCAGCAATGGGAATAAAAAAGCCATAAGGGAGCCATCCACTTCTGACACAAAAATACTACTGCTTCTTATGTGTTACTTATGTACATACCATATATAAACACATACAAGTAAAACCTTAATACTATCCAGAAATACTGGTACTTAACGAATGCCATGGTTTCCCAAAAGCCAGCCTTGCGGGGGGACTGGCACTTCCTCTACACTGGGCACGTGAATTTGTGCTCAACGCTCACGTGCACCGACACATCCCTGATCAGAAATGTACAGACACGGAGGTTTTGCACCAGAGTTGAAGTACCAGTAGAATATATGCTGGGTTTAGATCAAGACACCACATTTCTGTATATACAATATTTTTAATCTTTAGGAGCACAAATCCATCCATTCTGCCAACTTCTGTCTCCATCCAGACAAAAACACAGATAAAAACTAATTTTTATTTCCATTCAACTACAAAGTAATTATTAATTAGCATTACTAATTCCATTATTAATCTTAAAATCAACCCCAAATCACTGCTATGAAACAACTGAAAGAACAGCAGCACAGATTAATTAAAGAGTAAACTCTCTTCAACATTAAAACACTTCTCATTTTAAGTTAGGGGAGTGATACATCATTTACTATTAGAAGTTGCTACATTATTTTCAACACTCTGAAAAAATAACATTAAAAAGAGTGTAAGGAACAGAGTGACACAGGACATGGAAGCAAACCTGCGTAAAACACTTGGCAATATGAGTGGAAGTAGCTTATATTAGAAGAGACTGAAACCAAGGAATAGGTATTAATCACCTGCTGTAGGGAAGTAGTCTAAACTATTAATCTTTAGTACTTTTAACCCTTCATGTGGTCCCCAGGGCCCTTGGATCGCTGTGGCCAAAGGGCTCACTCACACGCAGCACAAGGTTGGGCCTGGCCTCCACCATCATGGTCTTCATTTACAGGCCCTGAAGCACCCGGCACTCAACTGGGCTCTGAAACTTCTGTCTTTCAGATCTTTACTCTAACCCAAACATTAAACCTAAGCTTAACTACAGCTAGGGGATGTCTGAAATCAATGAAGAGCTCCTCAGCAACCTACAGAGCTGCTCAGCACCGTGCTGTTAACTAAAGTGAGTTCAAAACCCACAGCACACTGAACCCCTCCAACCCCTGTCTGAGGGGAGTGATGCCACCTCTGCTCTGCACTGGGGGGATAAATCCTGAGGAGTGGGCTGTCAAGTCAGACTTATTTTATTAACATAAGTGCAAAATGACAAGTTATTTGAAAGCCACGGGAGATAATTAATGCAGCTACATTATCAATGAATCAGATGTTAAAATACTAAAAGATTTAGTTGATAACAATTCCATTTCCCTAAAATTACAAATAATAGCCAGTGTAAAGAATTTGAAGATTAAAAGCTAGAGTTTTTATTAATGTCTGCAGTGATTTAAGATAGTCTCTACTGAAGCCAAATACCCAAGAGACTATGGAAATAAAGGCATACAGACTTGAGCCCTCTGACTCTTATTGAACAAAAAGCATCTCCACAATGTCTCTATCAGCCTAGATAAGATGCACTGTCACATTTAACTGAGCAGTTTTAGCAAATAACTTCTGGTTTGTTTCAGAATAATCTGCTTTCCCTAGAAATTATTTCCATAACTTTGCATTTCAGCTGGATAAACATATGGAAATAATATTTTACACAATCAGTAATGGAAGTAGCATAACAAGAGTCGATCTTGTCACAAGTGCATCTGCTCTATGTGAACCACTCCTCCACTCTGAAAACATCAAACTTGTTGCATCTCGATTAGTTTTTAATGTACAAGGTCAGCAAAAAAGCTGTTCCAAGTTAGTTAATGAAAAGTGTCTTCTGTTTGCTGTAGACTATTTCTGCAAACCTTAGCTACGTTTGGAAAATAAGTATTTAACATAAAGTACGGTCTCAAAGACAAAAGTCCCACATAAAAGCTGTAATTTATGGATATATTAAAAAAAAATCAAAAATACTGTATACTAAATCAAGTTAAAATATAATTGAATAGATACATCTTTCAAATTTATTCCTTCATCTAAAATAGTCCACAGCAACTACTCTTCAGCTCAGATTATTCGCCTACTACATATCCATTCTAAATGGAAGCCAACTTCATTTATTTGACAGGGCAAGACCCGACATCTGACATTATTAACTTCAACTCTGGTTTACTCCTAACAGTTGAAAGTCAAGAAATTTGGATGGTCTGGTTCTTTGGTTCCTCTTTCTAATTTTTATGGCTGACTAAACCCCAAAGATGTGGCTTTACAATGGGAAGATAACCCAGACAAATGATAGGAAGGCAGATAGAGAAAACAAAGTGTAATTTTATTTAATAAATGTGACTAAAAATTTGGAGGTGGTTCAACAATAATTCCATATTCACTTACTTCAAAGTCTCTTCCAGTTTGCGAATTTTCTTTAGAGCATCCCCTTTTTCTTTATCAAGATCATTCCGGATGCCATGAATCTACCATTAGAAGGAAAAAATATTATCACATTTTAGCTAAAACAAAGTCTGATCCAAAAAAAGTTACTTTAAATTATAAAAACTATTTACTTTGCACATTTCTTTTGCACTGGTACAGACAATCATCACTAAAATCACACAAAATGCAAGAATAAGGATTAACAGAGAGATTAAGTATGATAATTTAGCCAAAAGAGCTCTTTTTCTTCTCAGAATGAATATTATTCTCTAGAATAAAGAAATATCAATAATTACATAAAAATGAACCGGGTTTTCTTTAGATAAATATGGGAAAATACTGCTCATAATCCAGAGTGAATCCAGAAGGAGTCACCTATTGCTCCAAAGGATGTGGCAAGAAACCAATCCCAGTGCAACCCTGAATATTTAATCGAAAATTATTAATTTATTCAAGTTGGTTTGAGCAAGCCTCCAAACCAACGAGCTGCCTGTTAGAGAGTAAAGGCGGCACTGCCAAACCTGGTAAAATTATATATATCTTACAGCTGGCTCGAGAATGGCTCCCAGGAATAATTTGTCACTGTTCCTACGCTGAGCTGAATGTTTGGAAAACAAGGGGTAGATTATTTATAAAAAGCAGGTGTTTCCTTTGCTTGTAAAACCATTTAGCCTAACTGGTTCCTGATTCAGCAGATAAGCACATTTCATCAAACAGTGACATTTAGGGTTACTACCTATTATTTGTTTGATGTTTAAATATCCTAGCAGGCAATAGCCACTGTAGACTAACAAAGATTATTCGATAATGGGCAGGTTCTTAAGTGAACAGATTGCACCAGAGACTTCACAATTCCCTAACTCAAAGGCAAACTTTGTTTAGTACTTTATGGGCCAATCTATACTATTTTATGGGTTTATATCCATAAATAGCTCATATGTATTTTTTTGCTCCTCCTTTGCTCAAAGGTTGGATTTCAAAAACCAAGTTATATAAAAAAAAGTATAAATAGGCAAACTGCTGTAAAGTTATCTATTAAAAATAGATATCTATTGAAATAGTTCTCTATTAAAAATCTTTACTGATACACAGTTACAACTTCATATCCACGCTTACTTGCTGACATGCTCTTAGCCCACACTAAGCCAATATCCACTATACTTCAATAGCCAGAAGATATCCAAATTATGCTAATATATTTTTATTTTGACCTACAATGTTATTCCAATCCCAGGCTTTTCTCGAGGTCAATGATCATAAAAACCATAACTTGTCTAAAAAGACAAATGTAGGCTAGAATTAGACCAAAACAGATCTTGGAATGAAAAAGTATTTGAATTCGAGTCAGCAGAAGGCACTAACTGAAACCAAAACCCCACTACAATTGACGTTGTAAATGCTATTACCAAGCGACAAGTAGCTATGATCACAATTCATTATTATATGTTATAAATTTGCCACATTTGGAAATGGCATGTTTGAATAACACATCCTTTCAATTAAACAGGGATCTAACGCATCCTCTTACTAAACACTGCATGAGATGAACATATAACGTCAATAAAATTGAAGTTTAATTTGAAATCTCTTGATGTTTCAAGCCTAAAAGAGTCGACAGAATTTGCAAAGTGCTTTAAGATGGAGTGTACCAAGAATCAGAGGCGATTTAAATAGCTGTACTTAAAATCTTCCTTGGATTTGTCCAATTATTTTTCTAACCCATGTGAAATGCCTGGATTCCAAAATTCACCTCCTTGGGCATTTGAGAATTAAAACCTTTAGCTTCTGTATACAACAAAATTGGAAATGTGCATGAGATGGTCTGTTTTCCTGAAAGCATTACCTGTTTTTCATAGACACGCTCCAAGTGAAGTTTTTCCTGTTGGAGCTTGTAATCTTGATCCTGCAAAGGAAGAGATGTGGATTCTCAATAAACAAATCACATTATCCTTTCATTTCAAAGCAGTCACTAAACGCACACACGTTTGCTATTACATAGACCAGTCCATAAAAAATAAAAATCCACTTTGTATCATCATTAAAAGATTATTTGACACACAAAGAAATTCAACCAACAGCAAAAATACCCACATGTAACAAAACTCTCTCAAAAGTCACAATTCGTGTTTTCTGAAGAGAAAAAGCAACTTGTTCTCCTGAGTTATTAAAATACCATTCTGGACCACATCAACTGTGAATTGAAAGGCAGGAGGAAAAGTAGATGCCAAAACTCAGACAGGACTGATACGTGATACAGATGTGGAACTCGTTATCCTGAGATAGAAGGATTAATTGAAATGCCTATAGGAAGATGGAATATTAAACCAAACTGTTAAAATTAAACCAATTTTGAAACGTACTTAAAAAATGTTTATTGTTTAAGGAAAAAAAAATATTCCTAATTCTTTGACATGCTTCTCTATAATCCACTGATACACGTTTATTGTGTTTTAACATGGAAATTACAGCAAACAGGGGAAAAACTCCTGTGCAAATTCTGCTCTTACCCATAAACTGGTCTCTTTTACTCATACTTTTTAAATCTACCTTTAAGTCTAAAGTGACACTTTATATATTCCTAGGAATAAAATATATACAAAAATCCATGTAATACATAAGTGTATTTTAGTGTGGCCATTCTTGAGGAAGAAATTCAGGGCTCACCCTCAGCTGTTGCTGTCTCTGATGTTCTGCATCTTGTAACTGTTGTTTTAATAGAGACACGCTGTGCTGTAATTCTTCAATCTCATCAGATGCCTGCAACGATTCAACAGAAAAAGGGATTTTTGTGTTGCGTTCCCCATTAGATGTATCTTTTGCATTTTTAAATGTATTTCTCAAAGGTGCCTGGAATTCAGAAAATAATATCAATTTGGGAGAAAAAACCTGTATGAGTTTACAACTTGGGATAGGTCACTTCTGTCCGCCTGGTGAACTTAAAAATGTAAGCAAAACTGCAAAAAAATAACTACTAATATAAAACCCTTGGCACTAATAATTGAAAGAAAATTACCTTGTAAATTAAATGGAGTGAAAAATCAAAGCTCCCAGAATTCAGTAAATAAATGCAAAAGACCCCATTTGTCCTAATACTCTAAGGATTAGCAGATGGCTTTTAAAACTTGAGCCCCTTCTGTAATTATTAACTCGAAAATGATATTAAATACATATTTATTTTTGAACATATCATATATACCTTCCTATGCATATTGGTAGATATCAACCTGATAGATGTTTTTACAGAAACATACCAGAATTGGTACATTTTGGGTAGCATGTATGCTAGGAGAATTTAAAACTAAATTCTTTAACACATAAATATTTAATATAAAGTTCCTTATAAAAGAGGCCTGCAGACAGTTAATTCCAGGAAAAAATATTATCCCTCATTGAAGAGGTCTTATGAAAACATCAAGTCTTTAAGAGTTCTGGGGTCCTCTGGTACCCAGAGTTTTTACAGAAGCACAAAGAAAATCAGCATTTTAATTGTACCTTATCTGAATCAGCTACGGAAATACCACCTGTATGTGCACATACACACACACATCAGAATTATCAGTCACCTTCACATGATTTTTCAGTCAAATTTGTGAATGAAAAATTAAATTCCAATTTTTTTAAAATTTATGCACATTAATAACTTAGGGAACTGAACAGTTCCTTGGATTTATTCATAAGCATTACAGTTAAATAGACCAGTTTAAAAATAAACAATATTTTAGTGCCTATGGAAGCATACCTTAGCTGCAGAGAGAGCATGTTGCTGCTTTATAACATTGATATCAACATCATGTTTACTTTGTAGTTGCTGAATGTTCTCCTCATATTCCTGTATAATACGGTCCTTGTCTTTCTGAAGTGAGCTGTGCCTACAAGGAGTAAGCAAAGAGAACACGGAAATTGCTTTCATATTTTGGCATCTCACCTGCTCAGCATCAATTCTACAGAGTGTGCAAGTCTGCCTCTGCCATGTGCTCCTTGTAACAGGATGAAACGCTTATAAATAATGGAAAGATAATATACTACTTACAATGGTCGTTTTGGGTCAATGAGTTTTACATCAATTAATACATTTTTGGAGAAATTTTCTCATGCCAATTACCATCCACTGAGTTCTTAAAATAAAATGAATAACGTTTGCTTTTGGAAATTTCATATTCTTCAATGTTAAAAACCAGCAACCGCTATTTAATTACCTTGCTTTCACATCCAGAAGTTCAGTGCACGCTGTCTGGTAACGTTGTTCTGCATCAGCCTTTTCTTGAGATAATTTCTGACGCTGTAAATTACTATTTTCAGCCTCCACTGTCAACTGCTGGACACGAGCCTCCAGTTTTTGGACCGCCTGCTTCTAAAAGAAGAGGTGATGAGAATAAAGCAGAAGAAATGAGGGTACAGCCCTGTTGGTATTCAATACCTCAGAGGAACAAGGTTCTTTGGGGTCCACACACGAGTTACAACAGCAAAGCTGTCATCAGTCATGACAGTAAATTCTACATTGTCTATAAAAAGAAATAAATCTTCAAAATAGGGAAGTCTATTCCCCGCCCCAGAGTAACACATCTTCACCCCTAAGCAAAACAACATGTGCAGCTGATTTCTCAACTGCAAATCTCTTAAAACAGGAGAGACAACAGATATTTCTGTGGAAAACTGTACTGGATGATAATACACATAACACATTTTTAGACCTTCCATGAACCAAAAAGTGTGTTATGACTAGAATTAGGTACAACCTGCATGTGGGAAAGAGTATTTGAGGAAAAAACAATTTATATATAAAGATTTTAGTGATCATTATGGTGATGAGCAGCTAGAAAAGTCAGCTAGAAAGCATATTAAACTGTATAACATTCAGTGAAATCTGCAGCTCTTTCATGCTGAAATAGTCTTCTGAGTATTTTTATGACCATCATATGTTTACAGACAAATATATATATATGATTTCTAAATTAAAACAAGGAGCAATGCATATGGTTGCTAAATAATTATAGAGTCTAAACAACTGCCTTTTATGTACACACTTTGGCAAAACCACATCCAAGGATGTAAAGAGTAAGATACAGTAATATCTGCTATGGATTTGGAGGATATAGAAGATTGTTGTAACACAAATGCTACATTAACAATGAGAATGATATCTAGTTATTTCAAATCAACTATCAAGTATTAACCACATAATTCATGGACCATCTTGTAAGGTAAGTATATCATCTTATATTATCAGTATAGCAAATCCGTATCAGGACTGAGTGCATTCCTCATCTTTGCTATTATACCTTTCACTAATCCACTTTTCCATATAATTTCTTTAATTACAGTGATTTCCTTTCAATAAATTACAAACTTCTACCAAAAGTTGTATCTTTTTCCCAGAACTTCATCTCCTAATAGAAACAATTTTAAAAATGAGTGGGATGAGAACAGGCAGGTAGCATGAGACTACTCTACTCCTGCCCGTTCTTCCCTAAATCTGTGTTAATATGCACAGAAATGAGAGAAATCCTCAAGAGGCTGGAATCAAAAAACAAGCCACAGCTGCCCTTCCAGGATGTACGTATCAGAGTTATTTTTATATCAACAAAGGTCTGAAGATGAGGGAAGTGAATCAGTATTTTCACCTTCTCTTAAAGGGAAATAAAAACTCAGATGTTGGCCATCTCAAGTCACTGCCCCAACTGTCACAAAAGTGTTCAACGAGCCTGGACTGATGCAAGGACCTCCCACAGCCAGAATGATCCCGAACTTTGTCCACTGGCTTCAGATATTTCACACCATCATACAGCAAACTCTCCCATCAATGGGAGCCAATTGGGGTTCACAGAATCCCAGAATATGAGGAGTTGGAAGGGACCTGGAGAGCTCCCCCAGTGCAACCCCTGCCAGAGCAGGATCACCAGAGCAGTCACACAGGAACACGGCCAGGGCTTTGGGTGTCTCCACACAAGGAGACTCCACAACCTCTCTGGGCAGCCTGGGCCATGCTCTGCCACCCTCACACTGACAAAGTTTGGCCTCATCTTCAGCTTGAACCTCCTGTGCTCCAGCTTGGGACCATTGCCCCTTGTCCTGGCATTGGACATCCCAGAGCAGAGCCTGGCTCCTTCCTCCTGACACTGCCCTTTCCAAATGGATCCCCAGGAATGAGGGCACCCCTCAGTCTCCTCTGCTCCAAGCTCCAGAGCCCCAGCTCCCTCAGCTGCTCCTCAGCAGGAGATGCTCCACTCCCTCCAGCATCTCTGTGGCTCTGCTGGACTCTTTCAAGCAGTTCCTGTCCTCCTTTGACTGAGGGCCCAGCACTGGACACAATATTGTAGATGCAGTCTCACCAGGGCAGAGCAGAGGGGCAGGAGAACCTCTCTGCCCTACAACCACCCCTTCTCATCCACCCCAGGATGGCGTTGGCCTCCTTGGCTCAAGGGCACATTGCTGGCTCATGGGCATCTGCTGGCCACCAACACCCCCAGGTCCCTTTCTGCTGTGCTACTCTCCAACAGGTCAGTCCCCAACCTATACTGGTACATGGGGTTTGGGTTTTTTTGTTGGTTTTGTCTGGTTGGGTTTTTTTGAGAGTGTGCTATTTTTTGTATTTTGGAGTTTGTTTTGCTTTGTTGGCTTTTTTAATGAATAATAGCAAAAACACAAAAAACCACAAACACCCACTCCCCCCAAAAAACCCAAACAAACAAATAAACAAAAAACCCACCCAAAAAACCAAGTTGTACCTAACATATCATCAAATATCAGAATTCCTCCCTGGCCCCCCACCCCTCAAGGAAGTGAATACTTGTTCAATGCACAAACCCTCCTTATCAGCTCTGTGGTATTAGGTAAATTGTTCAGCCAATTTCACTTGCTAACAGCAGTAGCATTCTTGACAACATGAAACTCTGAACAAGGCAAGTCTAAAATACCAACAAAAAAAATCCCAAAAATCAGGAGATAGAAAGAAAGAGAGAGAAAAGGAGAAAACTAATTTCCAGTGACAGTCTAGTCTTTCATCTTTAAGCCCTGTCTTGAACTCTACCTTGTTTAATTATTAAATCAGAAGCTGCTCAGCAAGATCTGTCTAGTTTTGATGGTTCTTAAATTCAATCTTGCTGACAGACTGTGTCCATTTCTCTCTGTATTTACTGTTACCTATGACATGATCTGAATGCTAATTTTTCAATCCAACATTCATTAATGAAGGAATAAATTTGGTTTGACATCGTCTTTTCACTCATTCAATTTTCTTCATATCTCATCCTGATAAAAAGTACAGGATGTCTTCCTGAGGATACTTGTTAATGTTTTTGGTTTTTACTTTGTTTATATAGTGGGCACAAAATCCAGATTACACCTGCCTACATGTTTCGAATTATTCCAGGAGAGAAATGAAATAAATTAGAAAAATACAATAATTATTTTAAAAATCTTTTTAATTTGATCTTTAATCTCAGCATTAGATGTTTGAGGAGGAGGTAAGCAAGTGGTCACGTAACTAGGAAAACAGATTTACTATGTAAATCCTTTTCTATAGTCTATGAACCTACAGAGACAGAAGTTCTGCTAACTTAAATCAAAACCAGTGAGAAATGCTAGAAACAGCTTTTCCATACAAATATAGATCTGTGTAATACTCATTGAAGGGCTGTACTTTGATGAATTTCATCCAGGGGGAAGAAAACCGTGGTTGGACGGGCTGCCAGGACACTGTTCACTCCCAAGATGGAACAACTGCATTGTGCTGTCAAAAATATTCCTCATCCTAACAGTATTTATGTACACTTTTGCACAAATTGCAATGAAATTTGAATACTGCAAGAGACACTTGCTGTCGTGACATATTTACCAAAAACTTAGCTGACTTTATCTGTTCCAAATAATCTTCTTCCATTTTGCTAAGACGAGCGTTGGTGTCCTCAAGCAGCTCCTGCCTATCTTCCATGTGCTTCTTCCGAATATTAAACTTCTCCTTCTCCATCTCAGCCACGGCGTTGTGAAGCTGCATCACAAAAATACTACTAAATAATAAATGACACATAAACCCAGCATTTATAAGTACTGTATTATTATAGCATATTAATAGAAGAACTGAGAAGCACAGGCCACATTGCTCTCCTCTAAAACAAAATTAGATCATGTCTCACTAAATAGGTCTCCTATGACTTTTTAAAACAGTATTTCAGAACTATAAGCAAGCCATTTAAAAATTTAGAGAGGGTGTAATTTAATCCATACAAGATGCTATCCGCTAGTTCACATATTTAAACTGAACACCCATGAATGTCTGCTCTTCCACTGCCAGTTGATCTGCTTCTCCATTCGTAAGAAACTGGAAAGCCCTGACTATTGACTTGTCTAATAAAAGGATTATTTGTGTCATTACTAACCCTTGATTTATATCCTAAACACCAGTGGCCTCCCTTTTAGTTAAGCAGCCTCAAATCTAAATTTTCTCTCTCTACAATAGTGGACAGATAGGAAGATCAGGTCACTTTACTAGTGTAGACTTTTATTTCCACCATACAGACTAGCAAAATCACGGAGGTGTCCGTGAATCTGGACCACTATTTAACAGACTCAACAGTGCTGTAACTTCACATAAAGTTTTCCATCCAAAAGATAAGAATGCTAATAAATCACTACTGTAAGTATCATGTATATGCTGTGGTGTTCAAAAGATCTGCCGACTTTGCCATCCTTTTAAAAATATTCTGGGAAGATCAATAAATATATTTAATCCCCAGGTGTATAAGATATGAATAAAACCAAAAATTCTGGGAAGGTCTCTACCTCCTATAGAACAAACTATAGTAATAATTGAATTATTGTCAGCAACGTCTATTCAGATAACCTGGATCTATTCAAAGGAAAAATTACCAAGAAGAAAGTAGTATATAAAGTTATAACAACATTGCACTCTTAACTTTCTATAAATTTCCATCACATGCCCAACAATCCCCATTCTTCCATAAGATACGTGCTCTGATTTCACTTCTATAATTTCAATAAGTTAAAATTAATATTAGCATTTTAATTTGCTGCCTTGTTTGCTCACTGGCATCACTGGTGACAGTCACAGCTGTAGGAACAGCACTTGCGGGGTAACTGCAAGAGGTGGGATGACCTGGGGCTGAAAATAATGCTTCTCTAAACCAAACACAAAAAGACTGCCTGACACTGAAGCCTCAAGGTCTTAAGCACAAAGGACAAGATTTCTGATTTATCTCTTACGAGACAAGAATTAAAACCAACACCGCTTCCAGATGCAGGGCTGCAAAAAAAATAAGCAGCATACTCCATCTATGAAGGGAGGTGGTTTTGTCCTTTTTGTGACCCTCTCTCTCCTGAGAGGGGTAAGAAAGACCCATCCTGACAATAATCTGAGTAAAGGATAAGGTGCCTCGCAATAAACGTGCTTTTTCTCTGCTCTGCTGCTGTCTTGAGTCCAATAATAAATAAAAATACATTGAAGAATTCGTGACCCAATGCAAAAAGAGCAGTTCAAAGGAATCACCGTGGCAGCAGGTAGCAGCAGGTTTACCGAGATTAAAATTCCACGCCAGGTCAAGCAGAAATAAATACTTCCCTCATATGTGCAGGGAGCTGCCAAGAGGGGCAGCTGAACCCCGGGAACAGTGACCAGCTGAGTGGGGGTGTGCAAGCACCAGCAAAAAAGAGTTGTGCAGGATTACTCCAGAGAAAAAGAAAATCGGCATAAGAAAATATCACTAAGAGTAACATACTCTCTTTGGGGGGGCTTTTTTTTGGTAACAAAATGTATTGTCCCAGATAAACTCTGGAGTCTTTCAAAGAAAGCAAGTATTGTTCATTACCCTTTTCTCCCACTCGTTGTTCAAGGAGTCATTGCTCAGCTCACACATCTTCTTCAACTCCACAATCTGCTTCTCTTTCGCTTCTCTGACGACTTGTGACTCCCGAAGAAGGGTCTGAACTGTCAAAAACGGGAAAATAAACAACCAGTCAAGAGAGACCTTCGGGATTTTTCGGTGTTGGAAGCAGATGCAATCAGATCAAATCAGTTTTCCAATTGATCTGGCTTTCTGATGTTTTTTGGCTCTTTAAGTACTCAATGCGTATGCTGCTTTAAAATTCAGCACTTAAGATTCTGTGTCACTAAAATATTATACGGTGTTCTCTCCTCTCTGCTTTATTTACAAAAATACTCAAGGAAAAACACACACCAACAAAATTTTGTATAACCTAAAGAAAACAGGCATTTTTAACCTGATTTTATGTGCATCCTTAGGAGAAAAGGTTCTCGTGAAGGCTGAATGCCCAAGAAACACAAGGAAATTAAGTTCCTCAATTTAAATTGCATCAAGTATTCACAGTCTGCCAAATTTTGTGGAAAACAAAGCCGTACATACTCACTTTTCAGAAGTGACTGACGATTTTCACTGTCTGCAAGGGTGCAGCAGCACCAACAGAAGCACCAGGTCCCTTCCTGGCCAATTTACTTTGCCAAAGAGCAGGAAACAACAACTTTTTGAATGTAGGTTACCAAAATTCTGTATTATTTTACATTGTGGTTTAGTCCATAGTGTAAATGGACCCCGAGGAATTCTAAAAGCAACTAACATTCAAAAACTGCTGACAAGCCACACTTAAAACACGTTTCAGACTTATGACATATTCAAGACTACTGCTCATGTTTGAAATCTCTTGCCGCAGTAGTCCTAAATAAATAATGCATTGTGGTTTGATTAAAATGCACTGAATGTATAAATAAATTAACCTTGAGCCGGAGATTCCAAAAAGTTTGAAATAAGTGGTCAAAAAGCTTCGATATCATCAAAGAAACTTTTACGGTGATGCTTATAAAACCCCTAAGTAGTAAATGTAACAAGAAGATCAAGCTGCCTCTTGGAAAAATTGGGTTGGAAACTGCACAGCAAAGACTACTGGACAAGTTTCTAAAAGTCTGAAGGAAAAATTGGGTCAAGATCTGCAAATGAAGAGGAAAGGGACATCTGCGCCTAGAAGGAACACGTAAGGCCATAGCCACAAGAAGGCTGCAGTACAACTCCACCAGGCAGAAAACAACTGTGAACATAAAAATCACCTTTTTTCTCCAGTTTTCTAATCGTCTCCTCAGCTTCATTTTGCTTGGTTTTGTAGAGGGACTTCAATACCTCTATTTCATCATTCTTTCTATCCAAAATCTGTAGGGA